TTTAGTCCCCAACAAATTATCAACAGTTTTTTTATTTTAATTATAATTTTCTCTAAATGTCATCGATTTAATTAAAAGTAAACAAACCGTGGATGTCGATTTTGGTAAAAGTAAATAGTCTGTGGCTGTGTGGATTAGAAGAACTGTCAATCTCTAAACTTTTATTAGTATATCATCACAGAATACGACAAAAGTATAAGTTGAAGATTAATTTCTAAAGCCAAATCACTATGGACTTTACGCACTAGTGAAAAAAGTAACTTTTATATTTCTAATATTAGTAGATAATGTGTACGGTAGTAGAAAAAATATTGTATGCAACTCGTGTGTAAATTCCCTTTCTTGACTCGTGTGATTGACGCACAAGCCGTAGGTGAGTGCGACAACATACACATTCGTCAAAAAAGGGTAACTTTACACTTGTTGCATAAATAAATATTTTTGTATCAAAGGAACTAAAACATGTAATTCATTCCTTTATTTTAGGGACTAAAGTGTCGTTTTTATTCCCTTAGGACTAACATATTTTAGTCCCTTAATACATAACATGTTATATTTATATATTTTTTTTATTGTTACACTGTATGTGGCAAGGATTTTTTTGTTTGCCTTTTTTGGATTAACAAAATATTATTTTAATGATTTAAAAATAAACTGTCAGTATCAATAATTATCTGTACCTAAACATATATAAAGTGAAATCATACGACGCACCAAGAAAGCATCAAATTTTTAAACTTTTTTTAATCTACGTAAAAAAGTATATAATAAACTAGATTAATTTTATTAAAGTACTATATGGGCTTATATACATTATATTACATTAATTTTATATGTAAAAATGTGGGTACCTAGTTCACTGCGCATCCAAATTTATATTTAAAATAAAGAAAGTTTCAGGTTTAAAATTGAACACCAAGTTTTATGATAATACTCTCCCTAATTCACCCCCTTACGAGTGAATTTCAGGAATATCAAGAATAATATTTTCTTAAAAAAGTGACAATAAAAAGTGTTCCTTATGGAGCAGGCTTTTTGCGAGACACTGTATATATATTTAGAGAGCAATCCATAATATATTAGAAAATAAAAAAAATAAAAAAATTATAATCACATAAATGTGATTTACCTTTTAGAATATCGTATATATACAGCAAAGTTTTCTAATCTTTATAAAAAAGATTTATATTCTACAAAATCTTTCTTAAATTTTTTAACATTCACAAATGTTTTAATTTAAATGTAGTAACATGCACGTGTGAGGTACAAAATACCTTAATCCGTCTATAATTATCGATTTTTAACAAGATGGAGACCGGACATCGTGGAAGAAAGACAGCGAATTTAGTAAAGAATTTTAGCTCGATTAAAAAGCGTTGTTTCTTTTTCCATTTTCTAAAAAAACTAATAGACCTTTTTGAAATCGGTTTTCGGTGATTTTCCTTCTGATTTATTACCTTGGAAAGTGGTAGATTTATATAAAAAACAAAAAAAGCTGACTTATTATTTTTATGAAATGAAAATTTGTTGTTATTTTCACAATTTTCAACCGCCCTCTGTTTCCATAAAAAAAATATTACGATGTTGCCAAGCCAGCACTTTTCTAGATATCAACACGTTCTTTATTGTACTTTTTAATTTTTTTTAAAATATTCTTTAGTTTTTTCATAGTTTGGGAAAAAGAATAGCATTGAAACTCCTATACCCGAAAAATTGTACGTACGCTCTTAATATATTTTTTCCTTGTATCTTATTGTTACTTATTTATTTTAAATTTTACGCTTTGAACTTGCTTTATACCTAAAAAAATCAATAAAGTACTAATAACATAAATACAAGTTCATTTTTTATTTCCAACATGTTACGCCTTTGGTCGAATATCGTTGGTGTCAGAATGGAACAAGATTTTCTTTATTACCTAGTCTAAGGCAAAAAATCGACACCAAACTCAAACCTCTAATTATTTTTGAATATAGGGTTGTCTCTTGCTGGATATAGAATGAAATAAAATGACTACATAACCCATCTTCTTACAAATTATTCATTATAAGTGTTGGCCTTTTATAACATCACCCGTTTAGTTAACTTTTGTGTAACATTTATTCCATGTTTCAGAAACATTTTCAGTGAAATATTTAACTAATATACTTCCGAAACTTGTCCTTGAAATGTTATATGAAACGTTTGAAATATTTCTGAAACACTTCTGAAATAATGTGTGCTGTATGGGTAAATAAGTATACCTGTCTTTGAGCTATCACACAACATAAGGATACAGTGCTGGTAAGACCAATCCTTTAGTCCTGAATTTTTTTGTGATGGAGTTAATGGTAAATGACTCTCGCACATACAGCAAAAGAAACGACAGAGTATTGATGTTGCCATTGACAAGTCGAGTAACAGATCGGCAACTTGCAACGTTGGTACCACAATCTTTCTTTTCCTATACCCAAGAAAGGCAGCGCCGAAGGTTTGATCTACTGTACCAGAGACAACAGAGACGTGTAACTTAATAGGAAAAATTGTTCGGTGGTCCATTTAAATTACATATATGACTTTCTTTCTCTTTTACATTGATCTTTACATATATTTATCTCCCTCCAATAAAATTAACATCAATCTAAGAGGTCGCTGATGTTGCTGGTTTTTTGACGTCGACGTATCGATTAAAACTGACAACTGACAATGTTATGAATGTTGTTATGAACGTGTGCATTTTATTAAAATTAATTTAATTTGGGCCCCGTTTATTTCTTTGAGTCTGATTTTGTTGTTTAATTAATTTTCTTTGGGGAGAATGTTTATTTTTGCATATTATTTTTTGCATGAAGCAATTTCTGGAACCAAACTCGCGTTTTTGTACACATTTCTTTTTAGAGGTAAGTAATTTCCAATTTATTAAGAAAACCACTGTATAAGGTGTGTGTTTAATAATATATTACAAAATGGCTATAATTATTTTAGGTGAATTGGAACAGAGATCGATTGTTACGGCTACTTTTGTTCATTGAGTAGATAGATGAATGTCTGGACAGCTTTAGTGGCAGCACAAAGTTCCTACCTACTAGAAAAGTAAAATGTATGCCGAGTAAAAAATCTGCACATGTAGTATTGGCAAAGGACTTTTGAAATGTTTAGAGATTGGCTATTTCTTACATATACCTACCTCTAATAGCCATTCTAAAGGAAGAAAAAAAAATTGAATCACAAAAGGGCAGAATTTTAAATCAGAGAGATCAATCTCAAGAAAAGTTAATTTACCCTGCAGAACAACCAGTAGTTTAAGTAGGATTTGCTATAACATTATTAGAAGATTTCCTTGATAATAAATTGTAATATACCAATTGTTTCAAATGAAATTTAAAAAGAGTTAAATACGAAATTAGATTTTTCATGGGTAAAATGTTATATTCATTCAAACATTGTAAGGTAATCAATAATTAAGGGAATATGGAAAATAGGTATACCCTGGTGGTGTAAGAGACAGGTAAGGGGCAATTACAAAAATGTATTTATCTTTAAATAGTGTATATTATTAATAATATTATTTGCTATGTTTAAAAAGTACCTCCTGCTGCAGAACAGATCGAATAGATTAGACTTCTAGTTAGAGAAGGTCCACCTAGTAACCAAATTAGGAGACTAGGAAAACTTTTACATGACTGGGGACACAACAGGAATGCACACGCACAAAATACACAAACAAACGAAATAATAAGGGGCAAGCCTTCAGCAACGTCTTGTTTAAATGATGATAGTATGTCATCCTTCATTCCCTTTTAGAAGGCATGGCATATAAATCTATTGATCTTGATTACCGTAAGAGGAGTTAGCAGGGGGTGTACGGAATGGGTCTAGCAGGTTTCGATCCAGTTTACAGGATGGGAACTTACTCGACTCGGTCCTTATACATTTGTGTTGAGTGTATGTGTGTGTTTGTTTCGATTCCATGGTTTCTGTTAAAATAAACAGTTATAACATATCGATACCTTTTTGCCAGACTAACGGAAGCGACATTTGTTCAAATGGCACTTATGATAGTATGGCAAAAAGGTATCGATATACTCTATACTTTATAAAATATTTGTTACATTAGTTTTTAAATATATTATATAACAACTGTTACTTTTTTTGTAATTTGTCACAAAATGATACGAGGTACTTTCTAAACGAAGCAATTGTAGTTTGTTTTTCTGTACCTTACAAAAATATAATTTATAGAAAAAGAGTTTGGTGTATTATTTTACCAAGTTTAAATATTTAATAATCAATAGAATTTTCAAGTTTTTTTTAGCGAAATTTACAAGAGTAATTAAAACTATGTTCACTGCTTATATTAAACTGATTAAAACTTCCTTTATTAAAATGATTATTTATATGATAAAAAATTTGATGTTATTGGAAGCTTTTGTATTTTTTAATATACAGTGAAACAAAAGTTTTTGTTTCTCCTGTAAATTTGTATAGAAAAACTATTTATTTCTGAATCCATGTTTGAATTTCCCGCCCTAAAACATTTTTAATTTTCCCGCTATTTACTAGTGGCGCCATCATAGACTGGTTGTGGTTACAATCGCCCAAATAACTTTTACCGAACAAAAAAAATACATTGAGTTACACGTTTCGCTGGATTGTCTCTGACTGTACCCATATGATCTAGACCTAAGCGCCCTCCTGCTCCCTTCACGGAGGGATATGCATGATCTACGCGGCCAAAATTATTTTTTTGCTTATTTGGTATCTAAACAACGTAAATAAATAAAATAAGTTATTTTTACAACAAATCTATATATTTTCTAAAAATAATTATATATTTACAAAAAAAAATACAAAATTTTGTGTCGACAAAAAAATTTTGTTAAGTTTCTTGACTTTCTTCGTCGCTCTCTGATGAACTTCCTGCTTCAATATGGGATTCTGCAGATACAAACATGTCCAAGGTTTTAGGCTAAAATGTTTTTGCTTTTCTTTTTTTTTACATTTCGCATGCTACTTAGCACAGGATCTGGACTAAGCAGAAGGCGATTAAAAATGTCCTGATTAAAACTTTCCCTGGAAAATTTCCTCGCAAAATCTTGTCGGTAACTTCTGAAATGTTTATTGCAAGCCACATCTTCTTCCTCGAAAATCTGTCCGATTGGTAACAATGCCTTTTCAATAATGACTGCATCATGCACTAAAATCCTGTGCATTGTTGGCGTCATAGGATGCCAATCATACAACTTAACATAAAGTCGAGCAGTTTCATAATTTACCGGATCAATTTCAAATCCGCTTGAAATTGCTTCTAATATGACTTTTAGTCTGTATATCAGTTCATAGCTAATGTCAGTTATTTCTGCAGCTAATGTGGGATTCTCAAAGAACCTTCTGCTAGTATTTCCATCATTTGTATTCCCGAAATTAGATTTAGGCATATCTATTAGTAAACCTGTTTCAGTGCGGAACCTTGTTTGTATCTCTATTTTGGTTTGATCTTCTAGGTCTTTCTCCTCTTTCGATTTTCTTCCCCTATATATTTTCACTTTAAGTTTATCTGCTAAGTGTAGGATGCATTCAAATAATCGAATTCTAGCGTGTAACACAGATATGCCGAATTCAAGTGCTGTAAAATTCACTTCGCCTTTGTAATCCAATTTGTTAAAATCTTTCGAGGTTGCCCCACATTATGTAGCACCTACTCGTAGACTTTGTGCCTGTAGCTGCATTGCAGACCCTTCCATCTGCCATGGTCATGATAAATGTGTGCTTGATTCACAACTTTTTCCCTCCTAGGTCGACCTCTGTTGGGACTTCCTCTTTAGTTACATCATTAGTTTCCTTGATAAAACGGAATCTTATTGGTCGACAAAATCGCGGCGAAGAGGGCGTTGGATTATTCCATAAAAGTTTTTATTTTAAAACTAATTGAAGAGGCACAAAACAGCTTTGGAATATGCTTGAATCCAAATCAATGTCACTTTCTAGTGTTTGTTTAAACTGTGATTGTTGAGACCCATCGTAGCCCCATTTACTAATTATAGTAAGGCAATTACGCTCTTTCTCCTTTAAAGTTATAATACCTCTTTTAGGTACTTCGATAAACATCTAAGTGTAACATCCATTAGAGGCTGTAACTGAGCTTCGGTACTGGTACTCGTTACCATTAACGATTCTTGAGGTGGGTAACATTTCTTTTTGCCTTTTTGTAATGTACTATAGCACGGAAAAACTTCTTATTGGTTTTTCTTATAATTTCGTAATGTCCTTGCGTCAAATCGGCATTTATAAACATTTGCAAAGCTTGCATTGATGTCAAGGAGTGCTCTTTACTTGATTTCGTAAGATAAGCCTTCTTATATTTAGTTGCTCGTGTCGGAGAACTGGTGATATCTTTTAAAACATTTGATACATCTTTTTTACCAGATTTTCTCAGATCCACTTTTGCAGCATGTATTATGATCTCCTTTTCAAAATTAGAACGCAGTTCTTCAGTCTTTTGTCTTCTGCTTCTCTTACTTGCGTCTTCAAACGATTTGAATGGTCGACCTGGCCGTTTTTATGAAGCCCCAACGACAGGTATTTCAAAAGTACCTTCCAGCCAAGATCGGTTGCATTTTATAAAATTATCTATTTTATAATGAGCTTCGGTCCACCTTTGTTTAATTTTTGATTTGAAATGGGCAAAACCACGTTATAAATTAATAATTTGATCTTCATTATAACCTTCACATGACAAAATTTGATCTATAAGGTAGTTTAATTTGGCATTTAAATTCTATTTTCATGCGGTCATATACTCACAACCTTTACTCCTGATGCACCCTCCAAACCTAAAACAAACATAACCTATGTTAAAAGGCGCTAATAAATATTTCCAATTTTATACGAAATTTTGCTAAATATCTTTAATTAATGCCTCAAAGCTGTATTTATCCGGACGTTTCCGGAGATGTTTTTGTTAACATTTATAAGGAAAAGGATCATATAATAACCTATAATGATAACTATAGCTCGATCTGCCCCGATACATAAACTAAAAGACTAGAATAAAAAAATATTTAAGGAAATCACTGTATGAAAATGAGTTTTTTTTGTTATAAAAAAATTATATTGTATAATGAATAATTATGACTTTATTAATGTAGTTTGGAAGTTTCTTACCTTGTCCATCAGAATCCATCACTTTCAATTCGTAAGTAGAACTTAATAACATAACAAATCACTTTAGAAGTTTAACGTTTAGAAAAGCACCGAGAACAGATACGTACACTAGGTAAAACGGTAAAATTCTAAATGACGCTAGGGTTGGGGGGTACGAGATAGCAGGTATTGTAAACGCCAAATCTAAAGAACCAGCGCAAATGCTCAAGTTCGTTTACTTAAAAATCGCCACGCCCATTCACAATTTGAACCTTGTCCTTGCTTACGATCAGTAGCGTAACTACTAGATCATTGTTTGTTTTTTGTTTCTGTGTTTTGGTTAAAGTGACTGGTTTTATTTTTGATGTCTTCTATTGTGGGTGAAAAAAAGCGCAGATCTGTTATTAACGGACAAAGTCGTGAAGTAATATACAATGTTTTTAGATATTTTGATGCAACAAAAAAGGAAGGAGTTACTTTAGATGATATCAAACTTCAAACTGCACAAGCAACAGGTAAACATACAAAATGAAAATAAGAACTTTAAGAGTAAAATATTTGAGACAGACAAAATATTTTAGAAGTCAAAATAGACCAATCGTTTATTTAGATGAAACATATATACACAGCGGACATACTTCTTCCAAGAATTGCACAGACGATTCAACAAAAGGTTTGTTTTCTGTTATTTCTAAAGGCCAAATTATAGTTCACGATGGGGGAGAAATGGGTTTTATCAATAATAGTTTGTTAATATTTAAAACAGAGACCAAGTCTGGAGATTATCATTCCGAAATGAATTCGGAAAATTACGGCAAATGGTTAAGAGAGAACTTAATACCTAATCTTCCACCTAATTCAGTAATTGTTTGTGATAATGCTAGTTATCACAATGTATATAAACTGATTAAATCTCATAAGAACCAACATGTAACATATGCATTTGATGAGTTGTGTCGAGAATACGGCCACACCGCTTTACGGTTACTCCTATATCACCCCGACTTGAACCCTATCGAATTGATTTGGGCAACTGTTAAGAATAATGTCAGTCAAAGAAATGTTACCTTTAAATTAGAAGGCGTAAAACAATTAGCAGAAGAAGAATTTAACAAAATCGGTATGGAGGAATGGAAAAAGAGATGCGATCATGTTATACAGTAGAAGATAAATATTTTGAAAGAGAAATTAATCCTATCGTCATTAATCCTAATGAGGATTCCAGTGACGACAGTGACGAGTCTTCTTTCAACGAAGAATTTGACGAAGACATATGAACATTATTTATTTGTGATTTACTGTTTACGTTGTTTGTATTTACTTATAGGCTATATAAGTGGTACAACTTCTTCTTCAAATGTGACTCATTTACATTTCTAATATATATACAAAATAAACTAATTAAAATAAATATATTAATAACATTTCAATAAGATATCGTTACCGGGATTATCTCACAGATAACTAAGAACAGGTAAAGATACTTAATTAAGCTCAGTTATTAATATCCAATTGATCACTTAAGAGGATATTTGAATTTTTAAATCTATTTATGTCAAGTGTTTCTAAATGGTTTAATTTAATGCCTTTATTCTCAAAATGTGAAACAATTTTTGCATAAACGATTAATTTTCAGATAAAAATATATTTTGTGAAATTATTTTTGTTTTTAGTATAACTATTGTAATGTTTTAATTAGTACGGCTCGTTTGACCAATATACATTTTTACCACAATTTAATTTATTTGAATAAGGATAATTTCCTGACCGTAACAGAATTTTATAAAAATACCGAACGGAAAGCGGTAGAACAGCCTTAACCTAAAGTCGGCTTACCTAAAAATAATGATTTTTTAATTGACTATAGAATTATGTACTAATAGTAACAGTAAGCAATATGTATGAACAAGTATCATTCACTATTTTCTATTTATTTTATGTTTTAAAATATACGCGCCCCTGGTTTACAACTTTATAGGTAAGCTACCTATTCTATTCATTGGACGACGTGTTCGTAGCATTATAAATGCGCGTCCATGGTTCTTTAGATTTGGCGTTTACTGTAGATGGGCACAGGTATTGTTCCCGGATTCGTCCTCTGTTCGTGGAACTCGTTATTATGAATGTTATTGTTATTTTGTTATTGGGACTTTTGGCCGCGTAGATCGTGCAAATACCTGTATGTGTGACGTTGAATACATTATTGGAAAACAAATATATAGATATTCACCGGACGTCATAATACTACTAAACTTTTACTAAAATCATGTATCCAAGAAGGGCTACGTCCATCGTATACCGCTATGGATCTAAAATGGATGTCCATTGGACTATGTGTGCTGACTGGGTGATGGGCGTAAAAAAGAATACTATTTAATTAAATGCATTTATTTTTGTATCTTTTCTAAACGTACCTGTACAGGATATGGTAATATTCTTTCTTCCATAAAAAGAGGCGGTAGTAGAAATGCCGCTACCCAAAGTACACCAATACCTATCAACGGTACTAAAATTGCCATTATAGTAAAATAGAATTTTTTAAGCCTTTCGCTCGTGGTTCCTTCAACCAAATCGTAAGGCCAAAACTTCGTCATTATATCGTCTAAGAAATCTTTCAAGGTTTGTGAGAAATACCATACAGTCATAATTTTGAAGTTACACTAAAAGATAAAAAACTGAACTATTAACCGTATAAACTGTCATAGATAAATAATATTTTACTATAAAATGATGAGAAGAGACCTGACAGTATTTATTTTTTTCTACCTCTAAAATAGAAAACTAAAGTTAACCTCACAATATTTACTAATTGAAGGGCTTTAGAATAAAAGGTGTATAAGTGCATTTTGGAATAAAAAG